ATACTGTACTTAGAGTAGAAACATTGTATTCCAATTCTGTGAATTTGATAGATTTGTATATTAAATTGTTTTTTAGCAATAACAAAGTTTAATGCCATATTTCCCAGGGGTAATGAAGATTCAGGATAGCTTTTCATATTCAATACAATCTCAACTAGCATATTAACAACATCTTACTTTCAATTTGTATTGCTTCTGTATTTGAGGTTTCATTATTACTTTATGTTTTTCAATATATATATTTTGTGTGCATTTATATACATGCATGCATATATAGAGAGGGATTGTAAACAAGAGAGCTCATACTTGTTTGATATGGAATATGCTTTGATTTTTTACTCAATAATATATTAAGGATATATTTACTTATTAAATATGTGGAGGCTGCCTTATTTTTAATAATTTAGTGGGATTATATTACATGTATTTTCATAATTTAATTTCTATTAATAGAGTTTTGAGCTGTAAATATTTCACAACTTTAAATAATGCAGTAATGTACACCGTGTTATATATGTTTACATATTTATATAAGTGCATCTATAGGACAGCTTCCTGGAAATGAGTCTGATCAAAGGGACCAAATATTCAAATTTTTGTTCAATACTGCCAAACTGCCCTCCAAATACATGGTACCAAATTTTTAAAATCTTAGTAATTGTACATTAGTGCCTACTTTATCACCCAAATATAGGTACCATCAATATATTTAAGTTTGCAGGGTAAGAGTAGACACATAATAAATTCTTGTTACTTAATTTGCTTTTATAACTATGATATTTTTCTTTATTACTTTTCCTTTCAAGTCTTTTGCTTGGTTTTCCTTTGGATGTCGGCTTTTCTTTTTCTGATATACCAAACCTTTTCATTTATTCTGGTAATGTCTTCTTCATCTCTGTTCTACTTTAATCACATGCTCTGTCTTCATGTATGCTTTATACTTTTCTAAGCACTTCTATGTTTAATTGGTGAAAAGTTCTCATTTCCCATTTGCACATAGAAAAAAGCCAGTGATATACTGTTCCTTAATCCAGGTATGAAGAGAAATTTACACTTTCCTTGACTAAGAACAATTTGAAATAAGAGAATCAGGACAGTCAGGGTATAAAACCTTTGAAAAGATATAAACATGTCTCCAGGTTTTCCTCTTCAGTGGCACTATGCTCAAGCAGACAGGCTTCTCATTTACACTGCTCTCACTGTGCCTTCCCTCACCCCAAATCTCCTTCTAGATTAGAATATCTCTACCCTCTACCACCCCTTCTCCTATCAGACCTTCTCCATACAGTATGGTATAAAGGTGAATAGTGAGCTTAGATGTTTGTAGAGCACTGCCACATAACAAATTTGCTGCACTTAATTTAGGTGGCTGCAAATTGCTGCAGGTATGCCAGGTAGTTCCAGATACCCACAGAGCAGAGGTCAGG